TAATGGGAACATTTCATGATAAGAATAATGGTAGTTGCAGTAGCACTAGCACTAGCAACAGCAGTAGAAGTAGCAGTAGCAGCAGCAGCAGTAGCAGTAGCAGTAGCAGCAGCAGTAGCAGCAGTAGCAGTAGCAGGAGTAGTAGTAGGAGTAGTAGTAGTAGTAGTAGTAGTAGTAGTAGTAGTAGTCGCAGTAGGAGTAGGAGTAGTAGTAGTAGTAGTAGTAGTAGTAGTAGCCGCAGTAAAGGTGAGCAGCAACAGTAGCAGTAGCAGTTAGCTGTATGAGCAAATCCCCATATCGGAAACGATCGCTATTTCGTCAGCAGTGCACCCCACATCCCAAAGCACGGCCCTGAACTCTACACCCTCCCGCATCATAAAGGCCCCCACACAAGGTACCTCTAGTTCAAAGAAGCTCCAAATCCTCCAATTTCCCTCCGCACCTGAAGAAGCAGCGTGCCATCACTGCCGTGCATGCAAGGCAAGTAAGGAATGTCAGCACTGCCTAGGCTTCGGCTTGGAAGTGCGGTAGTAGCGTTTTGGGGCCATCCTTCAAGTCAGGCTCTGCTCCAGGTCCAGGCCCTTCCTTCCTAACTCGACTTGTCAACACCTCGGCAGCTTACCTTTTAAGTTGCGCAATATGGAATTACAAAGCCTAGATGTGCAGAATCCAGCCGCATCAGGACGTGAATGAATGTGTTGTGTCCTTGCAAGCCGTCTCTGACTCCGGCGTTGATGAATTATTTGTGCCGTTGGGGTACGCAGCCTTGTGCATTCTGCGTAGATAGCTCAGGTTCTCTTGTTGCCAGACTGTAGCTGCGTATGCCACCTCAATTCAAGACCGCCTTGCGACACTTCGAAAACCAAAGCTCAAATCCACGCTTACCATCCCTGGCAAGATGGCACAGGTAAGGCGGATCCCTGCGATGTGTTCCCACCCCCAAGCTACGTGAATTGCAGATTCCTTATTGAAGCCTTATCTTGGGTAATGCACGGGGTTTTCATCAACACGAAGGTCAGGTTGTATCTTGGCCCCGGACAGACAGTGGAGTGATGTTCACCTGCACGAAGAAGGCTGTCACAGCCACGGCCTCGTCCCCCAGCTGATTCAACTCAGAGACTGCGACGTACCACGCGTCAATCAGCCAAGTCAAGATCGAGATCAGCGACTCCTGCAACAATGGGGTTCGGACGAACTCGGAGTACTTTCCCAGGTTAAGGGGTCGGAAAAATGAATCCCGGTATCCCCCCAAAGTCCTATCCATAGAACCTTGAGTCCAGAAACAATGACGTCTGTGTAGCCGTTTCTCTGTGAAACTCCGAACGGCCAAACCCTACACACTATTTATAAACGCTCTTACAAACATTAAACCAACTTTCTACATATCCTGAACCCTAAACCCTGAACCCCATAAAGTCTCTAGCAAACCCTCATTAAGGCCTGATTATTCCTGTTTCAGCCCAACGACTCTCACATCCCGTTACCACTTGGTTTTGGGCTCTGGGTTTGTGGGTTAGGGGTTTACGGTTCGGGAATTAGCAACCTCAGCCTAGCTTTGGGAATATTCTTTGACCATGGAGCCTTTGGCCCCTCGGCAGGTTTACAGTGCGGCCAGGGGTCGGGGCTTTGGGGCTCAGGGGTTTAAGGCATATGTACTAGGATGAAAATTCCAGTGTCACCATACTACAGCCCGAAATACACACTCACCAAACTCCCATGGAGCCATGTATACACACGCCGAACTCCTTGAATGTGAACCCTGCTTCATATGGGTCCAGAAATTTAGGGTTTCAGCTTCATTACTGTAGTCCTAAAACGCGAATGAGCAAACTTGAAAGGAAGTGGAAGGCACCTTGCAGCAGCTCGTGGTGGAAGAGATGATACCAGGATTTCGTAGCCACTCCTGCTGCTAAGACAAGACTCACTATAGGGGCCTTAGTGATTGAGGTAGTTTAAGCAATTTTATAAGGGCATTGCCGGGCTGAACTTCGGGGCCTTATATCTTGTGGTGGACGATTGCACGGAAACGAAGGAGATGTTATGACTAGTTACCAGTTATTCAAACCCCTCCCTGACAACGGGCCCAAAAATACTGGTTTGCGGCAGGCTCCATCCAGGTCTTCCGAACCCAGAAGTAACCATCAAGTACAAAAAGGGATCCCACACATGGGCTTGAGTTTTCCTCAATCGCTGGAGGTCTAGAATGATTTCGGGTTTATCGTTTAGGGTTCCTCAGTCAATGAGTTTCGGGTTCTCTTGGTTCTCTTGGCAGACATTTAGCTACTTGGACGGATGGTCCGATCTGGGGGTCGGTTCTGCCTGACGGCTCAACCCAAACCCTAAACACTAAACCCTGACGGAAATCCTACTATAGAGCCCTACAGACCCCTTAAACGAACCCCACAAAAGAACCCTAGACCCTTACCGCAATCCTATGAAAAAGCCCTATGGACCCCTTGCAGGAACCCCATACAAGAACCCCAGAGTAACCCGTATAAGTACCGACTCTAAGCCGGAGCTTCTTGAAGCAAACAGAATCCCTTAACCGGGTTTAAGGTTTAGGGTGTAGGGCTTAGGGTTGAGGGTTGGGGTTTAGGACCCCTTAACAACCTTGAACCTACTTGTCCAGTATCATGGGGAACTAAAGGTTAATCTTTGGGAGTATACAGGGATTATAGTACCCCAAAGAGGTCAAAGGTTACCTACCCCTTGACAAAGCTAAGCTACCCCGAGACTTAGCACCGAAAATCCTAGGCCCCTAAACGTTACAAGAGCCGTCCGCATAGCACCCTTTTGCAGAAACCATGGCACCCTTAACAACCCTTGCAACACCCTGATCAAGCTTCTCTACAAACTCACAGCGTCCAAGCATCATTCTACTAGGCTCTTAGTAGATACTTGGGCCCCGAACGTATATCCTATGCTGCTACCCTAAGCCCCAAACCCTAAATCCCCCTCCTACAGCTTAACTAATCCCTAAATTAAACCCTACACCCTAAACCCCAATTAATCCCTAAACCCTACACCCTAAACCCCAATTAATCCCCTAATCCCGACACCCTAAACCCCAATTAATCCCTAATCCCTACATCCTCAACCCCAATTAATCCCCTAATCCCTACACCCTAAACCCCAATTAATCCCTAAACCCTACAACCCTAAACCCTAATTAATCCCTAAACCCTAAACCCAATTGATCCATAAACCCTAAACCCAATTGATCCCTAAACCCTAAACCCTAATGAATCCCTAAACCCTAAACCCTAATTAATCCCTGAACCCTAAACCCCAATGAATCCCTAAACCCTAAACCCTAATGAATCCCCAAACCCTAAACCCTAATTAATCCCTAAACCCTAAACCCAATTAACCCCTAAACCCTAAACCCAATTCATCCCTAAACCCTAAACCCTAATTAATCCCTAAACCCTAAACCCTAATTCATCCCCAAACCCTAAACCCTAATTAATCCCTAAACCCTAAACCCTAATTAATCCCTAAACCCTAAACCCAATTCATCCCCAAACCCTAAACCCTAAACCCTAATGAATCCCTAAACCCTAAACCCTAATTAATCCCTAAACCCTAAACCCCAATTACTCCCTAAACCCTAAACCCTAATTAATCCCTAAAACCCTAAACCCAATTCATCCCCAAACCCTAAACCCTAAACCCTAATGAATCCCTAAACCCTAAACCCTAATTAATCCCTGAACCCTAAACCCCAATGAATCCCTAAACCCTAAACCCTAATGAATCCCTAAACCCTAAACCCTAATGAATCCCTAAACCCTAAACCCTAATGAATCCCTAAACCCTAAACCCTAATGAATCCCTAAAACCCCAAACCCTAAACCCCAAGCCGGAACTAGGAGGCTTCCCCGAATCCTTCGCCCTCGCCGCCCACAGGCTGTGCAGATCTCTTGAGGTCCAGGGGCAGACGTAGCCCTCGGCTGCGCCACTCTGGAAACTGAAGGGCAAGGGGCTTAAGGCTTTAGGTTTTTTTTGGGTTTTAGGGTTTTGGGGTTTAAGGTTTTGGGGTTTAAGGGTAAGGGGCTTTAGGTTTTTTTTGGGTTTTAGGGTTTTGGGGGTTTAAGGTTTTGGGGTTTAAGGGTTTGGGGTTTTGGGGCTTAGGGTTTTTGGGTTTTAGGGTTTTAGGGTTTTGGGGTTTAAGGGTTTAGGGTTTAAGGGTTTAGGGTTTTGGGGCTTAGGGTTTTTGGGTTTTAGGGTTTTCGGGGTTTAGGGTTTAGGGTTCAGGGTTTTTGTATTCAAGTAAAGGATTGGGTTTAGGGTTTAGGGCTGGGTTGAGAGTTCAGGGCTTAAGGGCCAAGGGCTTAAGCCTATTCTGAAATCTGCGATCTGGGAAAAGTCTGAATGCATAAACCCTAAGCCCTAAGCCCCAAAGGGTTAAGGGTGTAGGAGCCCAGAGTCCTCGGAACATCTGAAAAGTAGGCTAGAAGTAGAGTGGCGCATTGTGTTCAGGTTCATACTTCAGTAGGGGAACTCACACGCCACATGCTACTTCCGCTGACCCTAAATTCCGAAACCCTAAACTCCAACCTTTGATCCTTAAACCTTCATCTCTAAATCAAACCGCGCACGCCAAACCGCCCGCGCCAAGACCTCAAAAGCACCCAGAGCATGACTATCACTGCAGAAGCACCCTGTCTGTGCTGGAAGATGCAACTGATCGGCCAGGGTCAAGCCCTAAACCCAAAACCCCAAAGCCCCAAACCCTAAAGCCCTAAACCCTAAACCCTAAACCCCAAAGCCCCAAACCCTAAAGCCCTAAGCCCTAAACCCTAAAGCCCTAAAGCCCTAAACCCTAAAGCCCTAAACCCCAAAGCTTAGGCCT